GAGGGTGCACTCGATGCCACCATCCCTGTCACTAACAAAGTTGTTAAGCACTACTGGTCTAAACACTGACCTCTGAGAAACACCGCTCATCACTGGTCTCCACTCAGACACTGAGTCACTGACCACCACTCTGAGCGCAACCATCCAGCCAGTTCTTTGTCCATCAAGCGGTCCACCCTTCAAATCCATGTCTCTCCAGTTTAGAGGCAAGGATGTCACGTGGGACAAGACATCCTTGTCCCACACATACTTTAACAAGAGTGATGCTACTTTCTACGTACCCATGAAAAAAATCTCCCATAAATGCACTTCCTGAAATTTATCCTATCTGCAACGAAAAAGGCCCAACTATTCTCCCTAAAGTTTTCTAATTTAAACGATGCAGCTCTGATCCGCAATAGATCGGTGGAAGCACAATAAAATGTGATACCTCGGTAACAAAGGACAACGGCCCAGAGAACACGAGCAATTCTATAAAGAACTCCAGAACGTGACATATAAAGCACGTGTCGCCTGGGTGCCCAGAATGATTCAGAATAAAGTCCAGACAAAGCTACTGCAAAGGGAAGCAATTTGCACCACAATACATCAAAATCTCGCCTCACGGACACCTCAGTTGAACAGTTGCCACAGAGCAAGCAATAGTGTTGTGCTTTCTCCCCGTGCCACCCCTCGCACGCTGTTTATCTTCACGTACCTGTATCTGAAACGGAGTTTTTGAACGATTTCCTTCATTTTGTTCACCTGCTCTCGACTGGCTGGCACCTTCTCTGTAAAATCGACGTTCCGTTTGTCATCTGCATACGGTAGGAAAATGATGTGGAAACCTACACAGGAGAGAGAGAGCAAGAGGACAGTGATGCAGCACCATGGCCTCAGAACAATAATTTATGGCAAAGACCAAGATGCTTATGATCGAGGTCTGAGGTCTCCCCACACTACACACAACAGCAATCCATAGTATCTCCTAGCACCTCTATGGAGCATGACAATCAATCCCAATCTCAATACACATAACCGACATCACTAATGGCCTTTTGAAAGACAGAAACCAAACGCATAGCTAAGAGCTCAAAACTGGTGACCTGCTTTTTAGACAGGAGATCAACTTGTCCACCTTCCCCAAGTCTCACCAGATATGAGCTTGAAAAAAGCTTGTTTGAAAATAAGGTTAATGCCTGCGTTATTTCCGAAACACTTTATTTTGTCCACAAGCAGTGTTATTCCTCTACTTTACATCCTCCCAGCAGAGAATTTTCTGGTCAAAGAGGTGAGAAAATACAAAAGAGCAAGAGTGTGCCTTTGCTCCCTAATCATTCCCCACTCCTCTGATAAGGTGTAAGGCTCTGTATATGAGATTATTTAATCATGCTTTAAAATTTATCCAAGGATACAATAAAATTCAGGGAAAGACACTCCATCTAGTCAGCAAACACACAAAAAAGGGCTTTTAATTTTTAGGTCGGTTGCTTCAATCTGCTAAAAAGAGGTAGGAGGCAGGAAAACCCCACAGCCATGTTACACCTGAGCAAGCACTGATGCAACTAGGGTTTTAAAATAGATTCAACATCAGATATTTACAGTGGCTAAACTGAAGGGATGTTGGAAAGCACCCCCCAGTGTGAAGGGGAGTGGCACTGAGCACATTTTCACGCAATACAGGGGGCTGTTACACTGACGGCACCCGCTCGTGCAAGGCAAGGCAGCATCTCTTCCCATACCTGGAGGGGCAATCTGCACTTTCTGCTCATCCACCTCTTCCTCCTGGGGAACCAGGGCCACAAAGCGAGGGGGAGTGTTCCGGCGCGCGGTGTACCTGCACAGTGCCACCACCTCCCTCTCCAAGCACTTCATCAGTAAGGCGTTAAATAGCGTTGTACTCCCTGCAAAGGCAAGGCGGTGCTGGTCAGACTGACAGCTTGGCTCCTTCGGTCAGGAATGTAACTCCAGGTCCGCTTTGTGTTTTACCAGACACGGAGATCAGGAAAAGACTGACATGTAAGTAAAGTGTTTGACTCAGGAAACTGCTAAGCTGGAGAAGCTAGTATAAAGGTTCTTCTGTAGCCAGACAATGCAAAACGTGGTCATAACGCAGCCCTACTCTATCCACTGGTGGATCGAGGAGCTGGAATTTTTCTTTACTACTGCAGCTTGGGATGGACTGATACTATATTTCTAGACGAGTACACTTACATGTACACATAAAAAGGTGGAAAATGCAGTCTTAATCACTCTCTCCTTCTCTCTTTACAAGCCTGTAAAGTGTTGTTAATTGTGTTAATCCAACCATACTTCCCGAATATTGTGTTTCCATTCCCAGCTGATACGGACATTAAACCAGCAATTATGTTCACTGGTTTTCGTTTGGGTGGGTTTTTTTTTTTTACCACAAGAATATCTTCTTGTCAGGTAGCAGACTACATCTGCTTGCTTCGATTAGCTACCTGTCATGGTGGATGGAACACGAAGCCCAGTCGGCTCTTCTGCTACTGAAGAAAATAAGCCTGAACTGCAGCTGAGAGGGGCAGTAACAATTAATTGTACACCTTTTGATATTAGCAAGTTTTTAAATTAGACAAAGATTTTTACACTGAATGATTTCTACTCAAACACCCCATGAATCAGATGGTGACCCTAACACAAGGTGCTGGAATCTTCTCTTGCCATTTTGACTTACCGCTTACCAGGGACTCCTCCGGATAGATGAACTGGGAGGGCCTGATATGGTGGTGCTGTTTTAGCATTGAAAGTGGTTTGAAGCCAATCAGATACAAGCCAGGAGAATCAAACCGCTTTAATTCTTCTGTTTCCTCCTTCTCCAGCACAATCTGGCGGTTTCCATATGTCTAAACCAGAGAAGAACAGATAGTAGAGCTGCCAGCGTAAAAAAAAAATGGGGCAGGGGGCAGGAAGAAGATGCAATTGCTGTCTTCCACTACTGAAAAGAGGGTTAGAAACAAGACAGAGCCAACTCTTATCATTAGTGCACAATGAAATGGCAAGTTACCGTCTGTGACCACTATCCCAAAGGAAATTCCACCTGAACATCAGCAAAATGCACTTTCCTAAGACAGTGATTAAGCCCTGTCACAGACTGTCACAACATCTCTTCCCTGGAATTCTTCAGAGCTGTCTCTGATCAGGTCCCCCCTGAGCCTTCTCTCCTCCAGGCTGAACACCCCCAGCTCCCACAGCCGCTCCTCACAGGACTTGTGCTCCAGACCCTTGCTCTGGGCTGGCTGGACCAGACGTTTTCAGAGGTCCTGTCTGATGCTAAACTTGCTTCAGCAGATGCACGTCAGCAATCTACTCCTGGCAGAAACAGTGACCCAGAAACAATGCTTTAGAAGCATCACTCATACGTCACAAAAATGAAAACACGTCGTAGTCCAGCTGCTGAAGTTAGACATCAAGGCTTAAGGCTCAGCTTTCTGTTCCTCTTCTGGACTTTATTTCAAGAAACCACTGCGTAATATAAATAATATTTAGTCTTAAGACAACAACTTTAAGACCCTTTGGCATGGAAGGACACACAAAATGCATTTGTGATATGTACCTAGCAACTGCTTGTCTTTCTTTGAAATAAGGCTGTACCTAAAGAGGATGTGACATTCCAGCTACATCAGCCAAACTATCAAGCAGGAAGGCAAAGCAAAGAACAAAGTAACAAAAAACAAAGGTAAAAAAAAAAACCAGAGCTCCGTCCCGCCCTGCCCTGCCATTCACACTTATACGTTCAATAAAACGGACAAAATCTGTTCCTAATGGATCAAAATACAGCACCAGCAGTGACAGCACAAGGCCACATAAGGTCAGGCTCTGACAACCTGGTTCTGCCTTACAGAAAGAAGTGACCAGGAGGATCCGTGTCTCCCCCCACACATCACAGTGACAGGAAAAAGCAGACGTATAATCAGTACGTTACCTGAGCCCTTTTTGTGTCACTAGGCAGGAGCAAGCTGCCTGTTTCTCCATTAAACATCCTTGTTTTTGTTTTGACTGGTTCATTAGTTTCCCGATACAGCTTCACCGGATATGGCTTATAAGCTTTTTGTACAAGGTTGTAAACACCAACAGAAAGAGACAGATCTTTGTTCAGATACAGATTTAACCTGTGTAAAAAAGCAGACACAGACTTGAAACTTCCAAACAATCACTTTTTCAAAAGAAAGTAATCTCCTCAGAGGATTTATTTTCTGACCTCTTTCTATTCTCCCAAAATCACATGTTATCTCTGGAAATATACTATTACTTGAGTCATATTCTCACTTGTATAAGAACATTCGTGCAATGCTGTCACTTCTGGTCATGAAAAATGATTTAAACGCAAATAATTTACCATATTTCTTCCACTTGTTTTCAATCTGAAGGGCAGCTGTGCTCAGCAGAGCACAGGACAAACTTAGGTTTGGGCACTTTGCTTGAACAACGTGACCTCTGAATTCACACAGCTGTTCACGCAGAAGGCACAATTCCTCGAAAGAACCCCATCAAGACAAATGACTAAGAAATAAAGAAATCAGAACTTAAAGAAAAAAATCAGAAGTAAAGGTTTAAAAGTGGAGGTAATCTTCAAGTTCTGAGAGCAGAAGAGTGAAGTACCATGAATGTTACTGTCTCTCCTCTAAAAGGTATCACTGGTGAGGGATCCTTCCTCCTCAAGTAACAGGAAGCGTGAGGAACACTCCCAGAAAAGGAAAACAAAGCTGCAAGTAGGAGCAAGAATGCCAGTGGCAACAGCTCAAGGTGGGAGTTTAAAAAATATATATTAAAGAAAACACTAGGCTGTGAAGTTCATTCCCTTACCATGCTTCCATGTCATTCTGCTGTGAACTCACTCATTAAAAAAACCCCAACTGTTATGGAGTACGTGGTTCCAAAACTATTTCCTATCTGCTTTGTCAAGATCCCTTTAATCTCTCTATCTGTATCTTTAACCTCTCAAGGTTAGGAGATCGCAACTATCAAGGCTGTGGGAATCCACACCAAGTGCCCAGACAGACTGGCCACACGTGACTATTTAATAATAGGCCAAAGTACCTACCAGTCACACTGAGATTTTTCTAAGTTAACGCTAGTAAGAAAAGCCTCATTTCAATCAGATTTCACTATAAACTAGCCATTTTTACATGTTACAGATATTTTGGGAAGTATTTCACTTAGCAATAATGTCATTTTTCAAAATTATAATTTCTGGCCAAGCTAAATACCGGAGATGTCACAGAGAGGAAAAAAAGAGGCCTAGCTTCACTCTCCACTCTTCCCATCCCCCAAGGACAAACATCCTCGGAAGCTAGGGAAGAAACACCAACCTTGGACCAAGGAATTAAGACTGAGGAATGGGATCACTGATGCCTTTATAGACCAGTCATTCCAGAAGAGGAGGTGAGATGCAGTCTAAAAATAACACCAGGTGACTCCGCCAAATGAAACACAACTAGGCACAAACCTGACTAAAGTCCGTTTCTTTGTCTCCTTTGCTCGTACTTTCTTCATGAGATGTTCCAGTTTCTCCGACTCCTCAGGGTGGATGCCAAGGTCCTCATCCTCTGCCACGTTTACGATATCCCTGTAGAACAGAGCGATATCGAACCCTCCAGGCTTCTTCAAGTGCATCAAGTCCAGGATGATACCTAGAAACAAAGTAAGAGACAGGAGGTGGATCACAGGAACAGATTTCTTCTTACTCAGCACTCTGTCTAAGCAAGAATTTAAGCAAGAACAAGCCCCAGATTGTCACCTGCACCCGATGTGAAAGTTTCTAGGGTAAGAGTCAAAAGACATTCTTCAACTTCAGTCAAAACGTCGTCGCATAGAAAATGTTTCCTCCCTAATTAAGAACATGGACAACACCATGTATGAAACAGCCCTGACAAGCTCCCGTAGAATGTAATCTTACCTCAGGCACAGAGAGAAGTGGTAGCTCAGAAATTCCCCTTTCCCAGTTATAAGGGCTAATGGACTAAGGAAGCCTCACAGCTTCTGGATCCAGCACATCTGCTGAGCTCCAGAAACCCTGGTTATCTCAGCTACACAGTTAAACTACTGACGCATTTGCCCTCCGCTCCCCGAGCTCAGGTTGCTGTGCTTCAGCTCATCCAAAATGGAGCCATTAAAGTAGTTTTTCTTTTTGTGTTAACTTAGTGTTATTATTCCCTTCCTGGAAAACGGTGGAACAATGAAATAAAATAGAGTTTGTTTTCCACAGCCCTCTCAAGTCCTGATTTACACTATCAGAGTAGACAAAGAGATCCTAGAAAATGAGTGTTAGTTTTTGGATACCAGATTGGATAACAAATTTTCTAATTTAGATTAGATACCAAATCTCTAATTTAGAAAGCTTCAGAAAGATTCCCCAGTTCTGATGATTTCATATTCTTTTTCCATCGCAAACTTGCAACGCAGTTAACATCCGCTGCAAGGACACATCACTTCTATTCTACCTGACATTAAAGGGGAGAATACTGACCTGTGTCCCTCAGATCACCAGCTCTGGTCCTGGCCAGCTTGGCTTTGGTGCTGTCGTTGGCATGAGGGTCATCCTCATTGGTGAAGAGCATGATCCTTTTGTGGCTCAGCCGGACTCTGACATCACTGAAGAGGTTAGAGCAGGCCCAGAGCGCTTCACCCAGTGAATAGTCAGCATTGTGGCCAAAGGTCTTACGGAAAAGTACTTGTCCTTTGTCTCCCCTGTACTGGTCCAGCTCTAGAACACGCTTTGCACCTGAAGGGGATAACAGCATTCACAGGCATTAGAAATACTGAAAGAGGTACTGCAAACTCTTCTAAACATGCACTGAGGGTCCCTGGCAGCTGACATCTGAGTAATGTCCCCTGGCACCTCATACCCTTCCAACACCCGGCTGAGAACATAGCTCAGCACAGCCGAACGTTTGCCATACCGCAAGCTGGTTACCACCTGAAAGCACCTACTGGGGCCAAGGGGACTCCAAGTGCCCCAACATCAACGCGGGGCTCTTTCCTGTTGGGGAAAGGAAACAGGCAGGGATCAAAGTACCGCAAACACTGCAGTGAAAGGACAAGTGCTCAGCGCAGGCAAGGCAGCAATTGCCCCCACTGCAGAGGCACGGCAGGAGGTAAAATACCATCCTGCATCTCCATGGCACGTTGGGAAGGTGGAGAATTCCTCCTGCTCCCTCGCCTCACTTGCCAGAGAGAATTAACCTAGAGGTCGGATGCAAGCCACAGATCACCACATGAAGCAACACTCAGGGCAGGTATCCACAGCCTTTTTAAACCTCTGCAGATCGCTCCAGCCCAACTATGACACCTTTTCCCACCTGTCTATTAGCAGAGTCTCTGTTTTCTCCCATAACTCTGCAAAGGGAGACAAGCTTTCATTTTTCATCTGCTGCATTCTGCAGAGGTTATTCCTTTGTCCTTCACTCAAATTCTGCAGCACTTTGACATCTCATCTGAAAATGTCTTCCACACCCCTCCTTTACTATTTTTTCATCTCCTCAGTTGACATTTAACTAATAGCATAAGCGTTCATAATTACACACTATGTATTAACTGACTATAGTATTTCTTCCTTCTCCAGGGGAAGCAAGTATAAAATTATTTTCCTTTTTAACAACACTCACCTTCCACCTGCATGGCCTTTATCAGGATGGTGAAGCTACTGCCTCTAACGCAGGGAAAAGGGCAAGCAGGGAAGGAGGAGGAAAAAGGATGAGCGAGAAGCCTAAGGCACTTGCTGCCAGAAAAGGGAGAAGAACCTAGGGCAATTTTGTCAGGTCCACATCGTAATTAATTCTGAATCTAGGACAGGACAAGGCACAGTTCTTGCAGGAGAATCCCATGCGTTATTAAAGCATGATAGCAAGAACACCAACCTGCACCTCCTTGTAAAGCCAGTAAAACAGAACCTCCTCAGAGATACAGGCTGCTATTAAAAGCTAGCAAACAAAAACCCACCACAAGACTCTCAGCTGTCAGAGATTCTGCCACCTCCAGCGTGCATTCTTCGCACCCCTCCTACTGCCTTTTCTAATTCAGCAGCTGGCACTCATTATCAAGCACATGCTAGGTAATTCTAAGAAATTCTAAGAAAATGGAAGAGCTAAATTTAAGAACAGCAAAACTTATTATGAAAATAAGAGACAGAACACCCCAAAGAGGTAACAGGGCCTGTAGTGACAGCACAAGGGGTAATGGGTTTAAATTGAAAGTGGGGAGGTTTAGATCGGATATCAGGAAGAAGTTCTTCACGGAGAGGGTGGTGAGGCACTGGAACAGGTTGCCCAGAGAAGCTGTGGATGCCCCATCCTGGATGTCTTCAAGGCCAGGCTGAATGAGGCTTTGAGCAACCTGCCCTAGTGGAAGGTGTCCCTCCCCATGGCAGGGGGGTTGGAACTGGGTAACCTTCCAACCTTTGGGTCCCTTCCAACCCAAACCATTCTATGATTCTATGATATTGGACAATCAGCTCTAGCTGACCCTGATTGAGCAAGGGGGGTTGGACAAGATGACCTCAAGAAATTTTATCCAACCACGGCCATTCTAGGATATTCTCCATCAGCTGGAATCTGTGGTGCCTTAGGATGCCCATGCACTTTTCTGAAGCACAGCAGAGACACGATGGGCTTTCAAGACTTCTGTTGAGATCCTCTTAGCTTTAGCTGACAGCAGGTGCAACCATGTTAAAATAAAAGATAAGACACAGGAAAGGCATCTGAACCAACTGTAACAGAAAAAGCTAAGATCCTACTAAGCTTCTAAGCTTTCAGTAAATTTCTAAAACTATCCTCCCTCAACACATCTCAGTATCAGGAACAATTTATTTATCTGACAGCTCTTTGTTTTTAGAGAGGCCAGTTACTAACAACGCTACTACACAGGTTTCCTTACTCTATATATAACCTTCATAGCACTTTACTGCCTTTACCTGGATTGTCCAGCTCCTGAAGAACATAGATGTGCTTGAAATCTGCTGAGTTCTTGTTCTTTTCTGTACCATAGAACACGACACTTAACAGGTCCCTGTCACTACTGATGATTTTGCTGGTATACACGTTCCGGATGCACTGAAAAAAAGATGCACACAGGTTAAAATACAAAGAAAAGAAGATCAGTCGCAGCAAGGGTGCAAAAGTTTTGTCTCTGGCAATTAGAGTTTATACAAGCAGACTCTAGCAAACAGAACAGCAACAAATGCTTTTTTTTTTTTTTGCAGCTAAACTTCACCAGGAGAAAGAATTTGGGATCTTGTTTTTTGAGATTTTTTTTTCAGGACACAGCCTTGTGTATTTTTTATTAGCATTCAAGATTGATGAAATACGCATCTCTTACAGACACCACCCTGAACACAGATTGATCGCTCGTTCCATAACCATTTCCCTCACCTCACTCTGGACGGGGCCTACCCGGGAATGGCTCTTTCCAAACCCACAGCCCTTCAGCAGCCCGGGCTGCCCGAGTCTCCCCGCGGCCATACCCTAGCAGGTCGGGCAGAGCGACAAGCCGGCAGCCGCACCCACGGCGGTGCCGAAGGGGATCCCTGGGGGGGTTGTGAAGCGCCCTGAGCGGCCTCACCTGTATGGTCATGTCAAAGGGAGTCACTCCCTCCTCGTCCTCGTCAAACATGGCCTTGGAGGCGTCGACTAAGAAAATCAGGCTGTCGCGACCAGAGAACCGGTAGTCCCCTACGAAATGGGGGGAAACAATTTTAGCAACGGGACAGTCGGCCCGCTGACCGCCCCAGGGCGGCGGACCCCGGGCTGCCCTCCGTGAGGCCTTACCGATTGCCTCGGTCCCCTCCTCCTGCTGCTCCTCCTCCTCCTGCTCCTCCAGCGCCTCGCTCCGGTAGTAGGACACCCACTCGGACATGACTGCCCACGCGCGCCAGGCCCAGCGACCACCGACGCGCCGGCGGAGGGGAAGGGGAAGGGGAGGCCCGTGCACGCGCCAGCCTCGTCCACACTCAACGTTCGGC